GAAGAGAAGTGCTCACTCAGTGAGCACTTCCTGTCAGTCCGCCGGCGACCGGGTACAGGAAACAGAGGTTCCTGTCCCGCGTTCCGCGCCGCCCGGCCGCGCTACATTGAGAGACCGGCAGGAGGGAGCGCTCTGCGCTTCCCTCCTGCCGGTCACTCAAATCTGGCTGCCCCCCACAGCAGTGCTGCGCCGCCTGAGGCTTGTAAAAGCGCTCAGGCGGCGCAGCATGAGGAGCCGCCGGGCGCAAGGATCCGGCGCCCCCTGTTAAGGTGCGCCCAAGGCGGCTGCCTAGGTCGCCTTACAGGTAGCGCTGGCCCTGACACTACATTATATACACACACTATACAAACACACACACTGCATTATATACACACACTACACAAACACACTGTGTATATAATGCAGTGTGTTTGTGTAGTGTGTTTATATAATGCAGTGTGTGTTTGTGTAGTGTGTTTATATAATGCAGTGTGTCTATAATGCAGTGTGTTTGCATAGTGTGTGTATATAATGCAGTGTGTTTGTGTAGTGTGTTTATATAATACACACTACACAAACACACTGCATTATATACACACACTATACAAACACACACTCTGCATTATATAAACACACTAGATTCACTATACACACTCTGCACAAATACGTACACACTCTGCATTCATTATATACACACACTACACAAACACACACACTTTGCATTTAGTATATACAGCATTCACTTTACGCACACTACCCACAAACACTCTGCTTTCATTATATACACACTACACTAATACACACTGCATCCACTACACAAACACACATTGCATCCACAACACACACTACACAAACACACACTGCATCCACAACACACACACACTACACAAATACACACTGCATCCACTACACACACACACACACTACACAAACACACACTGCATCCACTACACACACTACACAAACACACACAGCTCCCCTGTCTAAACACACTGCATCCACTACACGTGGCATGTATATTTTGTGCATTTACCTTTAGAAATAGTTTTTATTTTCCAAAATGGTAAATGTACAGAATATCGGCAAATTATATCGGCTATCGGCCTGAAAGTTCACAGAATATCGGTATCGGCTCTAAAAAATCAATATCGTTCGATCCCTATTTCTTAGTCGGCTTTAGAGCTAACACCTTCTGTCCTAGTTCTAGGACCCCATCTCGGGCACCCCTATCATACTACCTCTTCTGGCGTCGCTGGGCCGCCTACAGATTCTACCTGACAAAATCTGTAAGAGCACTCAAGCCCAGAACGTAAGGTACAATAGGGATTCCTCCCTCTCCTGTGTTACCCAGTGCTCCCGTATGAGGTCTAAGGGTCCCCGGACCTTTCTCCCCTATAGGAGTACAAAGGGGGAGAACCCGGTAGACTCCTGGGGCACTTTGCGGTAGGCAAATAGGAGATGGGGAAGGACCCTTTCCCAGTGCCATCAGGAGGCCATGAACGTCTTAAGCATCTGCTTGAGTGTGCCATTAACATGTTTACAGAGGCCGTTCATCTGGAGGTGATAGGAAGAGCTAAACAGTGTTTTTACTCCGCAACTCAGCCACAATTGCTGGGTTACAGTTGCCGTAACGTGGGTCCCCTGGTCAGACAAAATCTCCCTAGGGAAAACTACCCTAGTAAAAATCTTAACTAGGGCTTCTGCCACAGTTTCTGCCTCTATATTAGCAAAGCTACTGCCTATGGATATCTAGTAGCATAATCTACCACTGTGAGGATGTAGCTCTTACCTGAGGTGCTGGGCTTACTTAGGGGGCCTATCAAGTCCACCACTACTTGGTGGAAGAGTTCTTCTATTATGGGCAAAGGGTGTAGTTTGGCCCTCGGGTGGTCACCCCTGTTCCCTATCTTTTGGTGTGATCCCTGGCCAGAAGAAGGTCTGGGATAACCGGTCTTTAGTTTTCCAGATACCCAGATGTTCTGCTAGGGGAATGTCATGGCTGAGCTTGAGTAGCTCAGCCCTATATTTACCGGGCACTATCAGCTGTCTTTTCACTACTTGGGCTGCTCCGATCCCCGTTCCCCCTGTCACCCTGTATAATAACCCCTTCTCCCACTCAAACCTTCCCTGTGCTATGTCTCTTTGGGGGTACGCTGCCCCCTTCCTATACCCTTCTAATGTGGGGTCTGCCCTTTGTTCTTGTTCAAAGCCTTGGGGGGTACCTCAGAATGGGATGGGATTTTCAGCTAGGGATGGGACATAGGGTCCGGTCTGGGTGGTGGTGGAGTGCTTTGTAATTGATAGGACAGTCTAAAGGGGGGTCGCCCTCCACTTGATTCTACCTTCCTCCCATCATGATATTCATCGGTGCCAGGTTTCCGACCTCTCACCTAGTCTCTGATCTCAGTTCATGCTAGGTCAAAAAACTGTTCCAGCAGCAACAGTTGTAGCGCATCTTCCAAGGTTCCCCTGCATCCAGTTCTTGGCTGCCCCAGGCATCCGGAAAGCCCATTCTGCAAAAGAGTCTCTGTTCCCTTTTCTTAATCCCTGAAATTTCCTCCTGTAGGCTTCGGGTGTTACAGCGTACCGGGCCAGTAAAATATCCTAAACAAGCTCGTAGTTGTGGATATCTGAGTCGGGTAAGCCTCAGCTGCTCTGCCAGACAACTTGCTGCTCAGGATGGCTGCCCACTTGTCTCTGTCCAGTTCTTCCAGAGTGCATTGTCTTTCAAAGTTTTGTACATAGGCATCGATATCCATTTCCCCATCTGCAAAGCTTTTAACCCCTTAAGGACCAAACTTCTGGAATAAAAGGGAATCATGAGATGTCACACATGTCATGTGTCCTTAAGGGGTTAAAGGCAGCATAGTTCACCTTCTTTTGCTGCCCTCGATTACTGGATCCTTGTATCTCTCCTGGATACATGCTGGACTGCTGTGCCGCCTGTGAGGCAGTAACCTGCTCCATTTGGACCACCAGCTCCGGTGAGGGGTTTGGTCCCATAAAACTGAGCCACCATCTCACTTTCGTCTGGAACTCTGCTTCTTCCCGGCTTAATTCTGCTGCATTGCTGGCTTGATCACCCTCCATCAGCTCGGCAATGATTACTGCTCTTTTTTTGTTACTTGCCGACCAACCCCAAGCTTCCATCGGATCCATCAGCGTGGTTCATTTCAGCCGTTCGTAAAGCTGGGCCATTACCTGGTTTTCCTTGTTTGGGAGTTCCATTCTAACGTTCAGATCCCGACGCTTGCAACCAATTGTAACAAACACTTGGTATTTCGTATACCCGTTTGTTCGTATGCTCCTGAAATGCTGGGGACTTATAGCCTGTTTGCAACTCCAGTGGTTGAGCAAACATCAGTTGAGTCTTGATGAAGGGTACAACAGGAATGTTTTATTATGGCCAGATGTCCCACTTCTATACACAACAGGGATACAGTCAAACACGCCCAGAACACTCCCACAACACACCCATACATTTCTAAGTCAGCATGGCTTAGTATAAAAACATTATTACAAATATTAAAAAATAAATAAAAGACATAGAGGAACCCCCACAAATATTATATAGATAGCCTGGATCTGAGTGCCTAAGTTGTCCAAATAGCGCTTGGATCCCACGAATACAGCCAAGTCGCCACCGGGATAAGTTTTTGGCCGACCGCACCTGAGGCGTCTGCCCAATTCAGTTCCAGAGATTCAGAATTAGCAGTTGGTCAATTTCGGGTGTTCCAAAATGAACAAAAAGACAAACTGTTCCCCTGGCTCATAGGTAGCATTTGTTCACCTTGTTCATGTGAACAAACCTACTGAACAGCGCTCTCCTGGCTTGTCGTGGAAAGGAGCAGGGGTTCGCGAAGCTTGGCCTGTGTTCGCAAAGTCGAGTGTCTGACTTAGCGTTCCAGACACTCGACGACCAAGTCCCGCTGCCTTCTTTCGTGTGACAAGATTGCAGCCATTATCTCCCGCATGTGTTGTTTGGTTATATGAACGACGGACTCATAGGGAGAGCACTTAAGTCTGTGGTTTCTTTGAACTAAATGAGACAGGGGGGTGGTCGGTGTTCGGAAGTTACATAGCTGAAAAGAGACTTGTGTCCATCAAGTTCAACCTTCCTCACATATGTTTTTTCTGTTGAATCCAAGAGAAGGCAAAAAACCTAGTCGGAAGTGCTTCCAATTTTGCAACAAACTAGGAACAAATTCCTTTTTGACCCAATAATAGCAGTCAGATGTCTCCTTGGATCAAGCAGCTATTACCTCACTAATTAGAAATTATATCCCTGTATGTTATGTTTTTGCAAGTATTTATCCAATTGCAGTTTAAACATCTGTATGGAGTCTGATAAAACCACCTCTTCAGGCAGAGAATTCCATATCCTTATTGCTCTTACTGTAAAAAAAAAACCTTTTCTTTGCCTTAGATGAAATCTCCTTTCTTCCAGCCTAAATGTGTGACCTTGTGTTCTATGTATAGCCCTGTTTATGAATAGATTTCCAGATAATGGTTTGTACTGGTCCCGAATATATTTGTATAATGTTATCATATCCCCTCTCAGGCGCCGTTTTTCCAAACTAAATAGATTTAAATTTTTTAACCTTTCTTCGTAACTAAATTGCTCCATTGCTATTAGCAATGTTGTAGCTTGTCCCATGATATCATTCTTTAGAACAGGTGCCCAAAATTGCACAGCATATTCAAGGTGTGGTCTTACCAGCGATTTATAAAGAGGCAAAATTATATTTTCATCCCGAGAATTTATGCCCCTATTTATACATGACAAAACCTTACTGGCCTTAGCAACTGCAGATTGACATTGCATATTGCTGCCTAATTGTTGTCTATAACAATTCCTAAATCCTTCTCATATGTGGTTATCCTTAATTCACTATCATTTAGGGTGTAAATTGCTTGTTCATTCTTGACCCCGAAGTGCATAACTTTGAATTTCTCTATGTTAAATTTCATCTGCCATTTTAGTGCCTAGTGCCCCAATCTATCCAAATCCCTCTGCAGCAAAGCAATATCCTGCTCACATTTTACTTTACAAAGTTTTGTGTCATCTGCAAACACAAAAACATGGCTTTCAATGCCTATTTCAAGATCATTTATAAATATGTTGAAAAGAAGCAGTCCCAAAACAGAACCCTGAGGGACACCACTTACCACTTTTGTTCAGCCTGAAGATTTACCATTAATGACAACTCGTTGTACTCTATCCTTAAGCCAATGTGCTACCCAAGAACAAGAATATTCATCTAGACTAATTTCTTTTAGTTTGAAGACTAAGCTATTGTGAGGAACCGTATCAAATGCCTTGGCAAAATCTAAGTAGATCAAATCCACTGCAACACCCTGCACTATACTTCTACTTACTTCTTTGTAGAATGCAATAAGGTTAGTTTGACATGACCTATGTTTCATAAAACAATGCTGATTATTGCTAATAACAAAGTTCTTCCCAATAAATTGCTGAATATTATCCCTTAATAGCCCTTCAAATATTTTCCCAGTCACAGAATTTAAGCTCACAGGTCTATAATTTTCAGGCAGGGATTTCGAACCCTTTTTAAATATAGGAACGACATCTGCCTTCCTCCAATCCTCC